ATCAAATAACTTTCTAGTCTCACATCCATACTCATCTGACATCCATACTAAAGACAAACCCAAGGTCTCAGCTAGTCCCAAGGGAAATAAATTGCCCAAATCAACAGGTCCACATAATTCTATAACACTCCAGAACACCAAGGGACTGAGAGGGACAATGACAATCCTTCAAGGTGCAGCAGGATTCAGGATTTGGAGAGATTCCTTACGAAGGGGTGAGATCATAATAAGCAAGAGACTTAAATTAATCACAGCAGTTTCCAGAAACCAACCAGACACGGTGTAGAAATACTCGGGAAAAATAAATTCACACTTCCAGCTGTATAAAGAGCCAAACTTCTCCCACCTCTCTCTCTCTCTCTCTCTCTCTCTCTCTCTCTCTCTCTCTCTCTCTCTCTCTCTCTCTCTCTCACACACACACACACACACACACACACACACACACACACACACACACACACACGAGAAGGGGGAGTTCCTACACAAGCCCCAGAGATGATTATCATCTCTCCACTTCTCCAGAGGAAAAGGACTGAGGATAAACGAGAATCTACTCGCAAGAAGAAAACTGAACTTGAAAGTAGTCGTGGGCTGTAAGAGCAGGAAAGGATCATACATTTATTTTATTTTTATAATTAGAAAACAATCTTTTCCCAAGGGCTGGGGAGAAAAGAAGGTTAGAAAACACAATCTGATTTTCTGCTTTTCTTTCTTTCCATTTTTGCTTTGTACAATATGTCATTACTACTTACAAAATGCTTTCAGATAGATTGTTGGTAGCTGGAATACAGAGCCACAAAAAGTGTGTTTAAAGGGGGAACCATATTTGGAAAACTATTACTCCCATTGAGACCTAGAAATGCAGGCCCCGACTCTGCCCATGTGCTCCTTGGTGGAAACTGAGTGCTAACAGCCGTCGTGACAAAGGCAGTGAGTCTGGGAAAGCTGGCTGGAAACGCCGCCTTTTCTCTCCCAACAACTTGGACTAGGCTCTGGACTGATTGGCAAGGGTGAAAATGAGAATCAAAAACTAATATTTCAGGCCATCTGATATGCTCAAAAGAGACTGTGGGGGTGTCCAGACTGGCTGGTGGTCTTGAGGCCCTTCACCCCCAGGTGGAGTAGCGGGGCCTCTGCTCTGCCCAGGAGGCTGTCTGTGAGCAGTCTTAGGCCACACAGGGTTTCTGTTGAGAAACTCACAGTGTGACTGCCTGTGTCATATGCCGTGAATTGAAGGCTTGGAATCTCTCACTTGAACTTTTTTACACCATCCCTCGTGTGTGCCAGAAAAGGAACAGCTGCCAGAAAGCGGACATTTCCCTGTCTCTAAAAATAAACCTCTGGCAAGACTTCATGCCCCCTGTGCCAAGACCTTGCCCTACCCAGGATAAACAATAGATGACCAAGTCGGCGGGAGGCAGATACTGGCCCCAAAGTAGGCCTGTGTCTGGCAGGAAGTGCTCAGGCCAGAGCACTTGGAGCTGTAGACTAGGGGGTCCATTCCTGCACGTCGCATGGTGGACAGCTGCTAGCTCCAACCCAGGGCCAGGGGTGGCCAAGAGGTTAAGCCTCTCATTATACTAGAGACTTTAACTCGGTGGAGGCCCCAGAGCCCCACCGTCCTGCCCTCAGAGCCATGGGACGCAGAGTGTAGACCTGCCTGGTTGTGTGGAGCAGAGGAAGCTCTCAAAAGGAGAGAATCCCATAGGCATCCACCTGCGCTTGCCCCTCACCTGCCAGTGCCTCATGGGCCCAGCTGAGAGCCCGTGTCTGTGAGGTGCAGGCCCAACAAACCACCTCAATGGAGACTACTTACTAGCAAGTAACTTCCCCATTTTAATTATCTCTCTCGATTTTCCAACTGTCCCCATAGCGCACGTTCAAGAGCCCGTGCCTTGTCATTAGATCAGGTCTCCCCTGTACCAGTTCCTGGGCTTTTTGCTTGTTTGGGGCTTAGGAAGGCTACGTGGAGAGAAGACCTAAATATCGCAAGCATTCACAGGCATAGTCACTCCATAAATATGCTTCAGAGGGACGGAGAGTGCAGGGCCGATCCACATGGCGGATGTCACTCACCCGAGTGTCACATCATAAATAAAACTGAATGGGCCCATTCTCCAACAAAATTGGAGTGTCGCCTGTTCACACTATAAATATTTATGAAGTCACAGTTCTTAGACTGTATTTTTCCAGGTAAGTAGCCTTTGATGACAAAGTTAAGCAGAGATTTCCCCGAAATTATGGAAGAGTCAGCATAGCTTGGTGGTGGGTATTTCATGGAATGGAAAAAAGGAAAAGGGGAAACAAGCCTCTGTTCCTCGAGGCTTCTCCATGTGGAAATCTCATTTACGACAGTCAGTGTTCTCATTCCAACCCTGACTGCCTTCTCGGGAGTGAGGGACACCAGAAGGAAGACTGTCCAGTTGGTTCTGCTCAGGCAGAGAGCCTGGCAGACACTTGTCACCAGTTTCAGGCCCCTCCCCGACCCTGCTGGGAGAGATCTTCCCCTTGCACTCTACGCCTGTCTCTTAGTAAAAAAAAAAAAAGTACACCTCACTCCATTACTATGCTCATTTGAAAAGAATCCTCAGAATGTGTGCATGTCTGCCTGGGTGTCTCCCTGAGTGTTTATGCACAGCCCACCCCTTGAGGTAGTTATTCCTGGCTACGTTAGGATGGCACCCAGAACCCCCTTCATCATCCACAAGCTTTTCCACTCTCTGCTCCCAGGAGTGCTTTTAGCCCCCTCCTCCACCCAAGGCACTCCAGCAATCCTGAGACCTAGGACTCCAAGCCATTGTCCCCACCACAAGGCATGCTAATTTCCTTGTCTCTTTAAAGCCTACAGGTTATTCATCTCCTAAAGGCACCAGTGCCCTTGGCTCAGTTGCTAAGCCTGCCTCTTCCTGGGGGAAGGGGTGGCATTTTGCCTAGGGTGTGTTCTCCAAACCTCAGGGTAGCCCTGGCTCCATCACGTGGATCTGGCCCCTCAGGGAAAAGTTGACATCCTTTGGCTCTAGCCTGGGAAGCCTTGTTCCACAATGAACAAGAGTCTCCGGTTTTACAGAGTGAGTCACAGGCTGCCTTGACCACCCTATCTATCTGGGGAGGCCAGGGCTGCCATGTACGGTCTTCGCTTGGTGCCACCCACCTCTCCATGTCACCCCTAGTTCTTTGCCAGGACAGCCTGAGTCATAAAACTCAGCACATTCCTTGGGCGTTGGGTCGTCTTTCCTTGTTATTACTTTGCCTTTGTTTTACACAGCACCTGGTTTCATTTTAAAATCCCAAATAAAATCACCCGGCCAGGGTGGGGGTGGGGAGAGAACAGAAAGAAAGGAAGAAAAAAAAGAGAGGGAGGAAACCCAGGCTGGCGGGTGCGGACCGAGGAAAGGAAAAAACTCTGCTTGTTGGGAAGACCCGGGGAAGAACAGGACGCCACAGATTAATTCATTTTGACCAGAATCCTTTTAGCTGCCTGAAAGTACCTGGCGGCCAGGTCCCCTTCTACTCTTTCCTTACGTTAGGCCACAGTACTGATAGTACTCTCCTCACGGGTCATGTGACCCTTCTCAAGCCCCCTCCATTTTCCAGTCTTCTCAATAAACTGAGTAATCTTTAATAAACCCTAAGGAACTCTGTAGATACAGCGCACTATGATTGCTTAACTCGGCTTGTCTCCTTTATCTTGTACTATAAACCCTAACTCATTGTGTGAGGCAGTATTTTTCCATAAGCTAACATTTTTTTTTCCTATGTGGATAGGGGCAGTCAGGGACAGGCGTAGAAGGCAGACTCAGCCCTACCAATGTGGCTGGTCACACTGAGATTCTGTGGCCAGGTTATTTCTGAAAATTCGTCTGTAAAGCTGTTGACATTGATTTTTAGAATCGAAACAGAATTCTAACAAATTGGCTCGCATGCGGCAAAAACCGAACACTGGGGCCCTGAGAAAGCCTTGCCATGGATAAGTGTATTCCTAGGAGTGGCGACGCGCAGTCACTAGGGCATGGTCCTTGGGTGCCAGCCTGGGCGCCTACCCAGAGGTCCCCTCGCTCTGCACGTGCAGGGCAGACAGGGGGAGGCTCCTGAGCAGCCCTGGGCAGCATTTTCAATGCACGGTTCTGGAGAGCTTAATGGAAACCACATGAAGGGTTCCCGGGAAGCAGACCAGACGGCTTCCAGCGAATGTATTTAGCCCAACCTGGGGCTAAAGGAAAAAATAATAATAATAATGGCTGGGTCGTGTGGGGCGTGGCTAGGGGTTAGGGTGCGACTTTGTGTTTTCTGTGCAGCAGGAGCCATGAGTCGGAGGACAGGCTGGATCAGGAGCGCCGAAGCGCCGGTCGGCAGAGGAGGAGGCTGCCAGCAGGGCCTGTTCCGTGGCCTTGTTCCTTCCGCGCCAGGTCCCGCCCAGCGCTGTGCTGCGGGGCGACCCGAGGGCTGCGTGGGGACCCCGCGGGGGCAGCGCAGCGGGGCCAGGGAGGCGCAGGCCGTGGGCGGGGCCGAAGGCCCGTGGGCGGGGCCGAAGGCCCGTGGGCGGGGCCGAAGGCCCGTGGGCGGGGCCGAAGGCCCGTGGGCGGGGCCGAAGGCCCGTGGGCGGGGCCGAAGGCCCGTGGGCGGGGCCGAAGGCCCGTGGGCGGGGCCGAAGGCCCGTGGGCGGGGCCGAAGGCCCGTGGGCGGGGCCGAAGGCCCGTGGGCGGGGCCGAAGGCCCGTGGGCGGGGCCGAAGGCCCGTGGGCGGGGCCGAAGGCGGGGCGGGCGGCCCAGCCACATTTCTTTGCCTGGAGGGAAACCTGGCCGAGGGCCTTCTCTTCTGAGTGATGCCTCCGGAAAGAGAAAAGTTTTTCTCAGACGTAGAGCACAGCCATCATTTGCGAGGTTCCTGCAGCAGAATGTGAGTCTGGGCACTTACGTTAAAGGAACATTTACTCATGATTATGACAACTCCCCTCCACATCAGTACACAAACACACACACACACACACACACACACACACACACACACACACACACACACACACACACGAGAAAAAGAACGAGAGATGAAACCCAGGGAAGTTTCTAGCATGGTCTTCCCTAGGTGCACACCCAACCAAGGCCTCCTCCAACCTCCTGTCTTAACCGGTTAACGCAGAAACTAGGGCCGCAGCTCTGGGACTTCCTTCTTCGTCAGTTCAAGATGCGCAGTGAGCCTTCTCAGTAATCGGAGGAGTTTCGATCCCCCTCTGAATCCTCCGAGGAGCCAAACTTGCTTTCATAATCCCATTGTCGCCCAAGCTGGAGGGAAAACAATGGTCCGATTGTCAACACTCGCTCATCCTCAAAAGTCACTGTTCCCACAAAATTGGGAATTAAATTGCTTCTTTCAAACCAGACATCATTCACAAGCAGGGGCTGGGATTGCTTCTGCATTTTCTTCCATCTTAAAAAAACAAAACAAAAAAACCTTTCTGTTTCATCTATTGTGCCTCAGTTCACGAAGGACAGATCAATAAGCAGGACGAGTTTAGAAAGGAAAGAACTCTTAGGCTCACCAACGACCTACTGATTAGAATCCCTCTTTCCTGCTCACCCTTTGTCTACTTCAAGCCACCTCCTTAGTCACAATCCTGGGTGTGAATTGTCTGCTTTTCAGTCCTACATCATGATCTTCTTCAAGTTAGGTCCCAAGAATATAAATAATTCAAGGACAGTTACCAAAGGTGCTAGTTGCCAAGCAAATATTTTTAAAAAGTAAGAGTATTGGTGACCTGGCAGCTCGTGCTTCTTTTCCCAAAACATCAGTGCCTGTTTAAAAATATTTTAAATTTGGGGGCTACTGGAATGGCTCAGTGGTTAAGAGCACCCGCTGCTCTTCCAGAGGACCTGAGTTCTATTCTCAGCACCCATGATGGCTCACATCCATCTGTAACCACAGTTCCAGGAGGTTGGAGCTGCCTTCCAGCTCTGAGGGCATCAGGCAAACATGTAGTGTACAGACATACATGCAAGGAAAACACTCATACACATAAAAATAACAAAATAATTAAAATTTTATTTTAAAGTTGAAATATTTTGGTCAGGATGCTAGGCTCAACATTTCTCAGATAAGTCCTCCATATTTATTGCATATGACAAGGGGAGAGGGGGGAGGAAGGGAAAGAGGAAGAGGAAGGAAGGGAGGGAGAGAGAGAACGATTTTGTACTGTTAGTATATCACAAAAATGTATGAAAATGTATTTAGAGGAGGGGTCAGGAAAGTGCCTGAGGAGGACAAGTGTCCCTCAGCACAGCTGTGACAGTGATTGGCCGTGGAATTGCCTGGCCTCAGAGCAGCTCCACAAAGCAGGAGGGAATTATTTAAGAGTAGTTAATCTTTCCCTCAGACAACTCCCAGGAGGAAGCTGAGAGCTGCATGCTTTCAAGAAATCACCCCCTTCCCAGAAGTGAGCCCCAGCCCTCCAGAGAAGCAGTCCTTGATGGAGCACGCGAGGAACTTTCAATAGACAGCTTTGGGCTCTGCATGTATCTCCCTGCAACAGCGTGTCTCTCAGTGTCCACACAGTCCCTAGATCCACAGTGTCCACACAGTCCCTAGATCCACCGTGTCCACACAGTCCCTAGATCCACAGTGTCCACACAGTCCCTAGATCCACAGTGTCCACAAAGTCCCTAGATCCACAGTGTCCACACAATCCCTAGATCCACCAGTGTCTACACAGTCCCTAGATCCACAGTGTCCACACAGTCTCTAGATCCACAGTGTCTACACAGTCCCTAGATCCACAGTGTCCACACGGCCCCTAGATCCAACGGTGTCCACACAGCCCCTAGATCCACAGTGTCCACACAGTCCCTAGATCCACAGTGTCCACACAGTCCCTAGATCCACCGGTGTCCACACAGTACCTAGATCCACAGTGTCCACACAGTCCCTAGATCCAAAGCAGAAGTTTTATTCCTGAAGGCTGCCATGAAAACAGGTGTAGCTGTTGGCCCAAGGTGAGCCATCCAACCTTGGCCTGTTAGCTAAATTTTCCGGGTTACCTTAGTGCCCCAGACCAGCCTTTTCAAAGTGACATGTGTGTATTCGTGTGACAATCTTAGATGCTAATTTAATAACATTTAAAAATTTTGCCGGGCGGTGGTGGCGCACGCCTTTAATCCCAGCACTCGGGAGGCAGAGCCAGGCGGATCTCTGTGAGTTCGAGGCCAGCCTGGGCTACCAAGTGAGTTCCAGGACAGGCGCAAAGCTACACAGAGAAACCCTGTCTCGAAAAAACCAAAAAAAAAAAAAAAAAAAAAAAAAAAAAAAAAAAAAAAAAAAAAAATTTTTAGTGGTCAAGTTATTCTTTCTCCCTAACAAACATAGCTAGCATACCAAACACATGACATCACAAATATAATTACTTAGCACAAAGCTGAGTTGTGTAAATTCAACTTAAGGGAAGGTTATAATAAAAACTGAGGGATAGCTAAAATTATTGTTTTATTTTATAGTAAATGAAGTCAGTAGGGCACAGAGAGAAAACAGTTTTTCTTTGCTTTTTAACCTATTCTTCAGGAATCCCTGCCAGAGAATTGTGTGTGTGAGTGTGAGCATGTGTGTGTGTGTGTGTGTGTGTGTGTGTGTGAGGTGTATAAATATGTGTGTTTGTGTGTGTGTTCATTTGTGTATGCATGCCTGTGTGTGTCCATGTATGTGTGTTCATGTGTTCATGTGTGTATATGCCTCTGTGTGTGCATGTGTATGTTTGTGTGTATGCATATGTGTGTTCACGTATGTGTGTGTGGCATGTGCATATATGTGTTCCTGTGTGTACATATGTTCATGTGTATATGTGTTCATGTGTGTGTGCTCGTGTGTGTGTGTGTGTGTGTGTGTGTGTGTGTGTGTGCGCCTGTGTGTGTGTAATGTGTGTGAATATGCATTCATGTGCTTGTGGACATCAGAAAACAACTTCAGTTCTTGATCCTCAGATGCCATCTACCTTGTTTCTTGAGACAGGTCTCTCATTGGCCTGCTGTTTGCCCAGTGGCTCCATCCACCTGCCTCAGCACAAGGAACTCAAAAGCCCATGGCGCCACACCCAGCTTTGAGGTGAGTTCTGGGGTTAAACGAAGATGGCTGTGCTTCTAGGCAAGCAGCACCGCCTGAGCCGTGGTCACCCCGGTTTAAAAGCACTGGGGTTTGAGAGGGGCTGGGTGGTCTGGTCACAGCCTGGTCAGGGGAGGCCAGGAGAGCAGGGAACAGACACCCGGACACTCAGCAGGCAGGGTGGGTCCCCAGCAGGGCAGGACAAGCTGCGAACTTACCACCCTCCAGCTCCTACGCCTAAAGCCTCTCTCAAGCCTGTTTCCTGCACAGCTGACAGGAGCTCACAGGAAGTGTTTGGAGCCTCTATTACCACACAGCCCACCTTTCAGCAGAGTATACAGGAAGGCTGTTTTCGTGCCAACGCTAAGCACCCTGCACCCCAGTGCACCCCGCACCCCAGTGCACCCAGCACCCCAGTGCACCCCGCACCCCCACTGCACCCCGCACCCCATTGCACCCCACTGCACATCGCACCCCCACTGCACCCCGCACCCCACTGCACCCGAACCCCACTGCACCCCGCACCTCGACTGCACCCCGCACCTCTCCACTGCACCCCGCACCTCTCCACTGCACCCCACACCCCACTGCACCCCGCACCCCACTGCACCCCACACCCCACTGCACCCCACACCTCCACTGCACCCCGCACTCCACTGCACCCCACACCACCACTGCACCCCACACCTCCCCTGCACCCCGCACCCCACTGCTGCGCCCTGCAGACATGCCCAGGGACCCGGGGCCGAAGGACAGGTAAAGGTTCTTACATGTTTCAGGAGCTTTTCCCCTCTAGTCCTATAATTCATGAGGAGATCAAAGCCTGGCTTCTTGGGTTTCGCACCTAGAGAGAAGACACGTTCAGGGCCGACGTGCTTTAGGTAGAGCGAAGCCTACCATGAGAAAGGAAGGACACTGACGTGTTTTGTTTTCCCTACTGAGGGCTGAACCCACAGTCCTGCACACGCTAGGCAAACCACTGCTCTACACCCTCAGCACTCTTCACTGCTTTCTTTCTAGTTTTGGTGGTGGTTATTTTTTACTCTTTTGAGGCAGGGTTTCACGTAGCTTGGTTGGCCCTGCACTTCTGTCTCAGCCTCCTAAGTACTAGGATTACAAGCATTAGCCATCATATCATGTCCAACTCTCCACCCCCACCTCCATTCCTACCCCATCCCCCATGCCTTAGACAGGGTCTTTCTGCATGTGGCTGGCCTGGAAACAGCACACAGACCTGTGTGTGAGCCTTGAGCTCACAGAACTGGGCCCACTTCTACCTCCTGAGTGCTGAGGTGCGGGGTGCAGTGAGCACGACACTCAGGGTCCTTTTACTTTTCAGTTTGAGACAGCATTTCACAAAGCTCCCCAGCCACACCTCAAATTGCAATCCTCCTGCCTCAGCCTCCTGAGAAGCTAGGATTACATGCTAGGCTACAAGGCTTGGCTTGAAATTTGCTGACATTCTGAAGCACTTTTTAAAACAATAATCCCAGACCCTCACTGCTGTGGGATGTTCTGTATGGCAAATGTGTTGCTCTGATTGGTTAGTAAATAAAACACTGATTGGCCAGTAGTCAGGCAGGAGGAAGTATAGGCGGGACAAGGAAGAGAATAATTCTGGGAAGTGGAAGGCTGAGTGAGAGACACTGCCAGCTGCCATAATTAGCAGCATGTGAAGATGCCGGTATGGTGATATTTTATTTGTATTAAAATGTTATTTGTATGTTAATAAATAAAGTTGCCCGGGGGTCAGAGCTATTAGCAAGCCATAGGAAAGCGGGGCAGTGGTGGCGTACGCTTGTAATCCCAGCACTTGGTAGGCAGAGCTGGGTAAGTCTCTGTGTGTTCAGGGATACAGCCATTATTGGATACACATGCCTTTAATCAATACCAATCATGGAAAACCTGGAGGCCTATACAGACAGGCTGTGAGGAGGCGGTCATGTGGTTGGGTTTACAACCAATGAGAAGGCAGGACAGGAACTCTATATAATGACTTTAACACAGGGGTAGCTCTGGTTCGGAGAGGTAGGACCACCGCAGGAGGAAGGGTAAGGTTTTAGCTCTTAGCTCTGACCTCTTGGCTTTCTTCTTTGCATTGGTTCTGTGTTTCTTATTTAATAAGAAGGTTGGATACATCTACATGCCGGTAAGCCATGAGCCACGTGGCAAGGTATAGATTTATAGAAATGGATTAATTTAAGATATAAAACAGTTAGCAAGAAGCCTGCCACGGCCATACAGTTTGTAAGCAATATAAGTCTCTGTGTTTACTTGGTCGGGTCTGAGCGGCTGTGGGACTGGGGGTGTCAGAGATTTGTCCTGACTGTGGGCCAGGCAGGGAAACTCTAGCTACACCTCACTCACAGTCTCCCCAACCTCAGCAGCAACTCCCCACAATGCTTGTTCTCAGAGCAGCTGAAAGTCAGATGTCTGCTGAATGTCCCCCTGTCATATCTGACCCTACTTTCTTTGCTGTTAGGTCTCATAAAATGAAGTGGCAAGGTAGGTGTCAGCAGGGCGGAGGCAGTAGTGTGGCAGGCTTTAAGTGGCCTCTGACCCTGGAAGTCACAGAAACAGCAAAGACCACAGCAGAATGGAATGGCGGCTTACTGGGCACGGGGCGGGGGCGGGGAGGACTTACGTAAAATTCTGTAATCTGGAAATGATAGGTAAGGAGCTTCATACCCCCAAATCTGGTGTGCCTGGAGAACAGAGAGTGGGAATTAATACCGACCAAGGCAGACGTGGGCTACATGCCTGAGATCCCAGAACTGGAAAGGCTGAGACAGGACCATACTGAGATTGAAGTCAGCCTGGGCTACACAGCAAGACTGTGCCTCCAAACCCCAAACAACGAACACCAGAGCCCAGAGCTGGCTGAGAAGATGGCGCTGTAGGTGAAGAGCTCTGAGCTCAGCCCCACGACACCCACGGTAAAACTGCAAAAAACAAACACCAGGGAGGTGCTGGCCCACCATAGTGCTGGGGTGGGGCAGAGGGAGGCCCAGAGGTGAACAGACGGCCACTCTAGGGCTCACTAGCCAGCCAGTCAGCCAATCACTCAGCTCCAAGTTTGCTGAGCAACAGTACAGTGGAGAAGGATAGAGAAAGATGCCCCATGTCAATCTCCGGCCTCTACATCACATGTCCACCTGTACATACACATGTACCACACACACATGTGCACAACAGCAACAAAACCATCTTCACAATAATAAACATCTAACAAAATCCCCATCCTTATTCAAATGGCATTTGATACTACTGACAAAAGCCACTATAACCGGTGAAATGAAAAGACAAAACCAGATGAAGTACTAATAAATGAGGCTGGGCAAAAAAGTCCAGTCCTAATGTGCAAAGAGTTTATTTAAAAAAAAAATCACTAAAAACAAAAACAAAAACAGAAAACCAATTATCCCAACAGAAACATGGGCAAAGAAGATATAGTTACATTTCATTATTCATGGATTCCATATTTGTGAATTCACCTACTTGCTAAAATCTGTGGTAACCTGAGGTTAACACAGCACTTTTGAGGTCATTGAGGAGCATGCACAGAGTGGGAAAATGGAATTCCCTGTCACGTGCGTCTGTGCTGAGGTCAAGCACAGGCAGCCTTGGCCATGCTCGCACAGGTAATTTTAAGTGTCCTTTTCACAGTCTCTTTTTTATGTTTCTTCATTAAGGATTTTGCTGTTTAAAATGGTCCTGACCATCATGCTGAAGTACGGTGTAGGGTCCATAAGCAAAAGAAGGCTGTGGCATGTCTCTCAAGGAAAAGAACTGCTCTAATTAAGCTCCATGTTAGCGCCATTGGCTCAAGTTCAAGGCTAATAGACATATATTAAAGAGTTTTTGAACAGAAACATACACATAAAAATTACTGTGCTGATTTTTTATTTGCAAGTGTTTTATAATAAAGTTTATTTTAAGAATACATAAAAACAAAGTTATATGTTGGTAAATTGAGGAAAATATTGTGACTGGAGACTGACAGAACCCAAACTATGTATCTCGCGTGGGAGCAATGGATTGCTGTAATGTACTGTTTGGTCCTCCTTTAGAAAGTGTGAGTTCGCCGGGCGATGGTGGCGCACGCCTTTAATCCCAGCACTCGGGAGGCAGAGCCAGGCGGATCTCTGTGAGTTCGAGGCCAGCCTGGGCTACCAAGTGAGTTCCAGGAGAGGCGCAAAGCTACACAGAGAAACCCTGTCTCGAAAAACCAAAAAAAAAAAAAAAAAAAAAAGAAAGTGTGAGTTCTGCAGAAAGGAGGGTCAGCTACTGTTAATAAAAATACCCATGAAACTAATAAACATGAGGGAAGACACTTAATCTATCTAAGAAAGGTAAAGAAAACGCAACTATATTCATCTATCAAATTGGGAAGCATTAAGGTTATAATTATCTTCATTAACCTTTTGAGGAAAAAAAAACCACTCTCACTGTGCAGCGCAGGTTGATCTTGAACTTATGACCTTCCTGATGTGGGCTCTCTTGAGTGCTGGGATCACAGCATGTGCCCCAGGCCTGGATTAAACCAGGTGTGAGAATATAGGAAAGTGCCTAGGCTAATACAGGGAGGCAATTTCGCTGTGAATAATACAAGCTTACTTTCCAACCCAAGAATTTCACTTCTGGGAATGCACTAAGATGACTTTACCATTGCATAAATATGTTTATGATAACTGTTAGTTATCATAACACTGTTTATAATCATTATAAATAAAAAACCCTAAGTGTCTAGCAAATAAAAACAACAAGGAAAAAAGAAAAAGATAGAAAAAGAAAAAATGCTAAATGCTTGCAGGTACGGAACGTTTTTTTAATTGTGATGTATCCCATCAGAGGGATGTATGTGTGCATTAGCTATGATAACAAATGATTATGCTTGTTAACAAGGAAAGGTGCACATAAAAATATTGGTATATAGAAGCAGATTACAGAGGACAAGGTCCATCCAGTATGATCTGGTCAACTTACTGGACACAGGTGGATGTGCAGCCATATGATGACATACAAGCACACTGATGTTGTAAGAAGTGTGACTAAATGTAAATTATTATTATCCCAGAGGAAGAGAAAGAACGTCTCATGTTTTTTTTTCTTTTGAAACGCTGTGACTTGAACCCAGGGCCTTCTGGGGTACCAAGCAATTGCTTTCCCACTGACCTACATACTTGTTTTTCCCTGTTCTTTCTATTTCTAATCTCTTCACTGTTTGGGAGTTTACAGTTAGAGACTTAGAAGCTCACATGTGATTATTGCCACACATGGAAAAGAGACCACCACATGGGGAATGTGACAACAGCCTCAGCCTGGCCAGTTGTTTACAATTGGTAACCTTGGTTACCCATAGATTTTTTTTTTTTCCCCTAACAGGAAGCTACACACATAATACCCCAGAAAGAACTGTTTGATGAATGAATACTCGTTTTTAAAACTCACCCCCTTGAGTTTGCTTTTTTATGACTAATATGCATATTCAATCCCTTACATGTACTTTTACAAGGGCCTTAGGAAGAGTCAGAACATACCACTCTGTGCTTGACGTTGAGCGGAGTGTGCTCAGAGGGTCTTGCGACATCAGAGAGTCCTCCTGCATGCAGATGAAGAGGGCAGTCAAGATGAAACTTCTTATACTCACAAGTTACACAACTACTCCCACACTACACAAGCTACCTTTGTTTCCCATTTGCCCTTGACCACAGAACAGCTAGAGGAAAAACCGTGGCTGGCACTTCAATTTGTAGTAAACCTTCAGGATCTTTGGGGGAGGGACAAGCATTTTCATGTCTGGAACACTCTTCTGTGATCACTCTTAGACTCAGAGGGAACTGAGGCTGTGGAGAAATCTCAAGGCTACACTTTCCCTGAACCTCCTGAGATGTTCAGGTGTATCTTATGGCTTCCACACTCTACTCTGACCCACTTTTCACCGTATATTTGAGCAGGTTTTCAGCAAGCTTATTGAGTTCCACAGCATCGCCGTAATCCACATGTCTTGTTTTCGTCAGACTTTGTGGAGGAGAACAGTGAGAGCTCATCTTCAGGAATATGCTTGGCTAGTCGGTTTTCCTTGCAAGTTCACACTTGACGAAATAGTGTAGCTTGACCTCCGCTTTTTAATTAAGGATGTTTACCGTTACCCTAATTTATTAGCCTCCGTCCCCTCCCTGCTTCCTAGGTGTAGAACAAGAACCAAGTGGGAAGGTTTCATTGACGAGACTATCTCAGTAACTGCCAGCAAACTGTACCATCAGAAACTGGGCCCTTAACTACTGTGCTAACACTGAGCACGACACACACTTGGTTTTAACAGCAGATTGTCAAGGCTGGTAAGGCCCTGCCGAGGCTGTATCAGAGGTGCTCCAGTTTGGAAGGATCCTTCCGAGTCATCTATCCTAATCATTTAGTCCACCTGCTGGTGTCTGTGGTTGGTTAACTGCCTGCGATGTTGGTGACTCAGTGATGTTTGTGACAACTCAGCAGGTGGGCCACCCATCTCCTACCTGATTTCCTTGGAACTTTAAGTTCCTTCAAATGAAGGCTCACCAACACAAAGTGATGATGGGACATGATGACAAAGTGCTGTCTGTCATTTTGGAGTATTGTATAGTGTATGCACCCAGAGGAGGGCAATTTAAATGGAGCATCAACAGTGGATTAACACTTAACCTGTCATCCACCTGTGAGGCTCCAAGATGGCTGCCATTAGGGCATTAAAGTCTGTCTGGAGATTTTTTTCTGAAGACCAGGGCTGTCACTGGGTTTTTCAAAGTGTCTAAAAACCACTAGGCATCACTGTTTTAGACAGTTGTTAGCCATTGCGACAGATAGCAGACTTCTAAGAATTTAGTAGTCTGTGTATGAGGTACACATTGCTCGATGATTGGTAAAGTTGGGGGGTATGATAGTATCGTGGTTATACATGAAAGCATTCTGACCTTTGGAGGACTCATGCATGCAAACATATACTTTAATTTACCCCCAATAGTCCAACAAAGAACCACACGCACGTATCAGCAAATAGACATTCAGGCTGGTGAGATGGTTCAGTGGGCCAAGGTGCTTTCTGATCAGCCTGAAGCCCGAGTTGGATCCCAAGACCCCCATAGCAGGAGAGAATGAACTTCTGAAAGCTCTCCTCTAACCATGACATATGCACCATAGTGCATACACTTCCCAATAAATAAAACATAATGAAAAATAAAATATATTTTAAAAATTCTGATAAAGCAAAATGTAAACAGTTATAAAGTCCATGAAAGAATTCTGGAACCGGTTGTCATTTTCTTTTAACTTCTACGTTGTGAGTAAACTATTCATTTATCTGCCTTAATTACGAGAGAGCTATTGCCATATTTAAAGGCAGATGACATCAGAAAAATTTAGGAAAGCCAGGCATGAACATTCCCCAAACGTGTTTGAACTGTAATTAAAGACAGATCCAAGAAATGCTTCATCTTTTCCTTTCTTCAGTCATGTAGCTCCAGCCCTGTTGGGGGCAGACCCCTGGTCTACCCACATAGCCTACCCAAGTCACTGATGTGTCCTCAAGAGAGTGCCAGCTTCACACTCACTTTGACTCACTGCAAAGTCAACTGCAGCCACCCCAGCCCGTGTCATGCTTCGACAGGAAAGTGCACGCCGTCGAACATGGCATCTTGTGACCTTCTTAACAACAGGCTTGGCTGCCAAGGTTCCCTGTGTCCAGGCTCTGTGAGGAATTGGAAACTGTAGCCTTACACTTGAATATTTTCCGGCAAACACATTTAACTATTTATTAGTCGGTTTCCTAATTTAAATAGGGAAATAAAAACAGCTAACAGAACCCCAACACCTGGAAGGAACGCTGTTGTTCCTGAGTCAGGAGGGCCATCCTGGGATTCTTTGGGCCCTGCCATAGCTGTCATCATCAGCATGGTAGGACCTCAATTCCAGGCCAAGAGCATACCACTCTGCCCAGATTTATTGGTGGCCAATATTATCCTTTTTTCTCTTTCTCTGTAGCTTAGAATAGAGGTTTTTCTCACAACAAAGCATGCAAATTAGCCAGAAAACAATGAATTTCTAGTGTTAAACACACTTCCTCCTCATCAGCTCACATCAGTTCACACCCCAAGTTTATGTGGAAGCCATGAGGTGAGTTCAAGTCACTTTGTTCTCTGTCCTGCACACTCTGGGGTGGTGGTGGCTGTCGAGTTCACAGTGTGATGAGACCTGAGGGTGAGAGCAGTGTTAGGGGAGAGCGCTGCATGCTCCCTTCCTGTTTCTAGATCTCACAGAACAGCTTGCCCTTGTTAGTGAAGGCAGGCAAGCAAGCATGGCCCCAGGAGAAGCGATGCAGGCTCCCCTGCAAAGCTTTGGGGAACCCTCCCCAGAACAGACTGTGAGGGCTCGTATCAGAAGGGAATGGTGAACTCTGACCCTGCCCGACAGTGGTGCAGGGAAGATGGTTGGAGGAGCAGGAGGCCCACTCCAGGGGATGGACGTGAGTGAAGAGTGGCCGATGGACAGGAACAGCACACTGAAGGTTGATGGATGCGGTATTGTGTGCAATTGTGAAGAAGAAGAGCTAGGTCTCTTGTAGGACCGGTGGGCAGGTTTCCTCCTGTGTTGTCTCTGTGTAGAGTTGAGGGTTGTGAAAGCCTTCCTCTTGGTCCATTTCTACATGTCAGAGCAGAAGGAGGCCTTAGAGAGGGAACCTCTGTGTGAGGGGGACCCTTGTGCTGAAAGCCCCTCTCTTCAGGGAAACCCTAATTCATCTGCTACAACCTTCGGCCTGGTGCCCCAACCTTAGGAGAGAAAGCTTTGGAAATGGTCCAGTAACAGCACACAGGAACAGGTCCCCAAGGCTTAATACAAATAAAAGCAACAGAGCCTGGAACCTGTAGGATGCCCACCTTAGTAAAAAATGAAAGGAAGTTGTTTTTGTTGTCCTGGACCCCAGCTGCCCTCTCAGAATCAGTAATTTACTTGCTCCCTCTCCTTCTCACCCCAGATCACACTGACTATCACTTACTCAAACTATAAATGTGAATGTTTTGCATTTAGGGTTTGTCTGACAAATTAGTTACTTTTCTGTTGCTGTAATAAAAATACTATATCCAAAAGCAATCAAAGAAAGAAAGTTTACTTTGGCTTGAGGTTCCAGAGGGAGAGTCCATAATGGCTGGGAAAGTATGGCATGCAGGCAGGAAGTTGGCTGGTTACAATTTTCACATACACAGGAAACTGAACAGCAAGTAGGTGATGTGGGATGTCTTTCTGTATGCTGTGAATATGTGTTGCTCTGATTGGTTGATAAATAAAGCTGTTTGGCCTATGGCAAGGCAGCTTAGAGGCAGGCAGCAAATCCAGGAGAGAGACAGGAAGAAGAAAGGCAGAGGTGGAGGAGACGCCATCCCACTGTCCAGGGAGCAGCATGGAATGGTACACAGATAAAGTCACGGAACATGTGGTAACACATAGATTAATAGAAATGAGCTGAGTTTAGTTTTAAGAGCTAGATAGCAAGAAGTTTGAGCCATAGGCCATGACCATATAGTTCGTAATTAATATAATAAGCCTCTGTATGTTTATTTGGGTCTGAGTGGCTGCAGGAACAGGCGGGACTCAGGAAAACTTCCAGCTACACGTAGGAAGTGGAGTGAGTTTGTGAAGACTTTGATGCTTTGGTTTTTTGAGAAAGAGTTTCTCTGAGTAGCCCTGGATGTCCTGAAATTCACTCTGTAGAGCAGACTGGTCTTGAATTTAGAGATCTGTTGTGGAATATTACTTTAACTATGTAAAGATGTGCTACATTTGTTTATGCTGCATTTGTTTAACGATGTAAAGATGTGTTGTGTTGCCTCCCTAAGGTACCTGATTGGTCTAATAAAAAGCTGAACGGCCAATAGCTGGTTAGTAGAGGGATAGGCGGGGCTGGTGGACAGAGGAGGTGGGTAGGAGAAGGAATCTAGACTTAGGGGAATCAGAGAGGAGAGAATGAGGGAGAAAGAAAGGGAAGCACCCTGGACCTACCTGCCAGACACAGAGTAGGACATACAGAATGGAAGAAAGGTAAAAAGCCCAGAGACAAAATGTAGATGAAGAGAAACAGATTGAATTAAAGTCGGTGGGACAAGCATAAACTAAGGCTGAGCACTCATAACTAATAAGTCTCTGTGTCATGACTTGGGGCCTGACAGTCTGAGGAAGCCTGTTACAGAGGAAGCCTGTTACAGAGACCCGCCTGCCTCTGCCTCCTGAGGAATTAAAGGCATGTGCCACCATGTCCTGGCCCAGCCCACAAGGGCTCTTGCCTAATCCCTAGGCATCTGTCAATCCAACTCTCACAGGGGCATCTGTTTTCTTTCTGCATGAGATACTGAAGACTCAAACAAGACAAGTTGTTGTCTGCAGGAAGCTTATGTTTTAGACAGATAAAGACAGACAAACAAACAATACAGAGAAAGCAGAATCCAGATAACTGTGTTCCTGAAAGAACAGCGTGTGAAGGTCCTGGGGCAAAAACTGGCCTGGTGTTTGCACATATTTAAGTGAAGACAATGTAGCTAGAAGAGAATGAACAAAATGAAGAGGAAATATGAGTTGGCACAGGAGTCATATCCACAATCGGCCCTGCAGGCTTTGGTAAGGAAACAGGACTTAACCCAAGTCTGACAGGAAACAGAAGAGCAATATCATCTCCTTTATATATTAGTATGCCTCTGTGTAGAAAACGGACTGGATTGGTGAGACATGACTTACAAGACACTCTTGTTAGTTCTTACTGCTTTCTGGGGTTGTTTCCAATAAGGAGAATGTGTCATAGAAGAATTAAAATGGGATTCAAGGAGAGGAAGAGGAAGGACGCTATGAATGGGCATGCACATTGTTAAAATCACATGGCACATCACACATCTCTCCCCTTCAAACACGAGTCTTTCTTTTTAAGTTTTAAATTCTCTGTATATTGTGTTTGGTCTGCATAGACGTGTAACACTTGCAAACCTAGTGCCTAGGACGACTAGAATTGGGCTTTGGATCCCCTGGGACTGGAGTTGCAAACAGTTGTGGGACACAACTCCAGGTTTTTGAGGTCAGCTAGGCCTCTCAAGTGCTGAGCCTTCTCTCCCATCTATTGTTTGATTTGTGTCGATATTCTCCTAGACATTCTCATCCCTGTAAAAGACTGCATACTATAAGAGTAGTTCCAGGTAGCTGCTTCAGAGACTTGTTCTGTGATGAGGAACTTTCTCAAGGACATCTTGTCTACATTATAACCTCTGGGTTTTGGTGTGTTCATACATATAAAATCCTCCCGGTACAAATTATACCTCCTGAAAGAGCAAGAGTGAGCGAGACGAGTCTACTTTGGATATATGTCCTACCACAGAGTTGTCTGGGACAGAGAGCTGGACAGAAGCTGTTTGATGAGACGTAACACAGAATACTCCATATAGCAAAGACTAAGCAGAAAGGTGATTGGCTGTTTCTATACTGGGTTTCAGAAACTTGATTTTTACTGACTACTGCTCTGTTCATTGCATCTGAAAGCTGATAAGTATGTGACGCCATATGCTCTGTCCAGGGTGTAATGGTGCAGGTCTGTAATCCCAGGACTCGTGAGGTAGAACAGGAGAATTTTAGTTACAGAGTTGAGGTCAACTTGGCCTACATAAGACCTTGAAAAGGAGCTGAGACATTGTAAATCGGTCAGTTATTGCTGCTCATGCTGTCTCCTCTCGGACCTCCACCCACCCACCTGCGGACCTGTGAAGCAGCCTTCAGACCACAGGTTATCACTGTTTTGACTGGCATTCTAAAGGGCACAAACAGCCCTGTGAATGCAATGGGACTGTGCTGGGCTACTAGGTGGGAGGCACTGCCAGCCTGCCTTCGTATAAACCAGTGGTTCTCAACCTTCCTAATGCTTCGTTCCTCATGTGGTGGTGACCCCCATAACCATAAAATTATTTTCATTGCTACTTCATAACTGTAATTTTGCTACTGTTATGACTCAATGTAAATATCTGATATGCAGGATATCTGATATCTGACCTCTGTGAAATGGGGGTCGTGCCCCACAGACTGCTTAATCTCACCTGCTGTGGGATGTTCTGTATGGCAAATGTGTTGCTGATTAGTCATTAAATAAAACACTGATTGGCCATTGGCTAGGTAGGAAGTGTAGGCGGGACAAGGAGGAGAATAAAGCTGGGAAGTGGAAGGCTGAGTCAGAGAGACACTGCCAGCTGCCACGATGAGAAACAGCATGTGAAGATGCCGGTAAGCCACGAGCCACGTGGCAAGGTATAGATTAATAGAAATGGGTTAATTTAAGCTGTAGGAACAGTTAGCAAGAAGCCTGCCACGGCCATACAGTTTGTAAGCAAAATAAGTCTCTGTGTTTACTTGGTCGGGTTTGAAAGGCTGTGGGACTGGCAGGTGAGAGAGATTTGTCCTGACTGTGGGCCAGGCAGGAAAACTCTACCTACACTCACCTTTGTGAGTTAGGACCTGTTTTTGTCCTTCGATGGTTTTGCTCTCCAAAGCAAAGGGAATAAAGTGTTGCCTGATTAACATGGTGTAAATGGCTATGTTTCCTATCATCGTGCATCAGCAAGCCATGGAGGAATGCTGACACTCCATCTCAAGTTCTTCTCGTAAAGCCAAGTTTCATTAGGAGAACAGCAGAGCAGCGGAACCACCCAATGAAAACATTGGAAACCTTTATCTCTATCTTTTGGCAAGTACCCACCAGGCTGCCAAGGGACTCTCCACCGCCCAGCTCACCCCATTAATGCATTACAACCTTAAATAGCTCACCAAGTGGACCGAGTGCCAGAATATGTTATAATGTGCTTCAAATATCACTTGTGATTATATTAATCAGTATTATTAATGCCCCAGAGACTCAGCTCTGAGAGATGGCCATTGTGCTGGACAGTATCTCTGTCTCCTCCTCAAAGTCAGACTTGGTGACAGGATGGGCAGCTGTCCTCTTCTCCGGGTGTAGCTGTTGGTAGGATGTAGCTGACCCCCAGAGAATCCATGTCTGAGCTTGCTGATCTCACATTGTATGTGAGGAAGGAGAGCTATTCTCAGCTGGAGGGAAAGGACTGTGTGCTTTCCTTACCCCTCACTCCTCACCTGAAGGTAGAAGTCTGTACCCCTAAAATGCCACGTGGGCAGCTAGACCACAGAGCAACATTTTGGCCTTTATGTGAAGAAAGGTGTTCTTTGCTTGTGTAAAGAAAGAAACTGGAGTTGGGGATTTAATGTCTTGTTATAGCATCTGGTGTTAACTTCAAATGGCTAAAACAGAGTGGGGGAGACTAGCGAACAGTGCTGAGCAGCAGATGATCCCCAGCCTTGGTGTCTGGGGTGAGACAGTATTAACCCAGTATTAACACTTTATCAACGAGGGCCAGGCTCTGCTGGAAGGCACATTCTAGGACTAACATGGAAGAGGGGAGATACCTTAAAGTGACTGTCACTTTTACAAGCACTGTATCTTAAGTGGAACATGGTTACTTCCTTGTGAGAGGGATCTTGCCTTTATAGGCAAGTGGAAGCCATATGGGCCACAATCAAGAACCTGGAGTAGAAAAGGAAAATGCAAGAAGATGGTAGAATGGGTTTTTCTGACATTATTTTTTAGCAAAGCTTGACATAAAAGTATGGATTCCAACCACAGATGAGAACACCTTTGTGAGAGTCCAGATGCCGAGAGGGAATTTCCACCACATCATGAAGTGAGAGACAACAGCAGAGGCATTGAAAGGCCAGAAAGCACCATTTCACTTGCTCTGTGTCACAGCCAAGGCAGCAGGGCTCAGAGCCAGGGGAGAGCTCAGCCTGGTACTTCCTCATGGAGAAGTAGAGGACAGTGAGTGAGCCCTGGCTCCTCCTCCCGTCCAGATGCCACCCAAGAGCCTTACTTCCTCCTGACTCTACTCCGAATCCTGGGGTGGTCAGAATGCTTGCTGAGGGAGATCAGGGCCAAGGAGCAGAGGCAAGAACTCAAACCAGCCAGAGCCTAGAGCTCAGCAAAGAATCATGGATCCCAGGTCCCACTTCAGGAGGATCCGTCATCTGCAAGTCACCTCACGTGTACTTCAGTATTCCTCATCTTATGCTCATCATCCCTCTCAGGCAGCAGCTGTCTGCTCCACAGATGCAAAATGCAGAGGGAAGATGCCGGGTTCTACATACATGCTCGTTGTGCACATACAAGCACACATGCACACACCAAACACATGCATACACATATGCGCTCACACACCCACACATATGGGTACACCAAACACAAATTCACACATACACACACCACACACATAGCACACATGCACATGAACATATACACATACATACCACACACACATAAACATGCACACATACCCAGTGCACACACACACCTAACAAACATACACCCAAAACATTCTCTCTCTCTCTCTCTCTCTCTCTCTCTCTCTCTCTCACACACACACACACACACACACACACACACACACACATGCACACACACATCACACACACACACAGCTCTGTGGAAACCATTGATTAGCATTGTCATGGTAATCATGTCACGGTACAAACACTTATCAAAGTATCCTGTTGACTAACCTAGGACACACAGCTTCATTCGCCAGTCTACTCAGTTAAGTAGGGGAGAAGGGTCTGAAAGGGTTGTGCTTGGGGGAACGGATCAGGAACTAACCTTTGCCATCTGCCGCCTTTTGGGAACCAGCCTGGCCGGGAAGATTGCTGTAGGCAGAGCTGCCCAGCAACGGTGTCCTAAAGAAAGCCCGTGGGAGAAACAAGTTACACTCGGGTAGGCTCAGCAATCACACAGAGCCTACAGATGTAAATTTCATTTGGTTTCTTGAGGTTCTGCTACGTTTCTTCTCTTCCCATTCCCCCACCCTCACCCCATATTCCCATTAAATCAACCCGAGCTGAAATTTTGCACAGTCTTCAGGGATTTGTTTGTGCTCTGATTTGTCATAAAAGGGTAACATTTTCATCTCTGCATGCAAAGCTCAAACATTAAGTTCATAATTACTTCAGCAGGATTTATGAGTGTTTCTCCAGGGAGTTGCTTTCAAAATAAGATAAGTGCCATGCATGGAATAAGAAAGATTACAGTAATTACATTGGTTTCCAAATAAAATTTAATGGCAGTGGGGTAATGTGGGGACTCACAGATGTTATGTGTATCCTTTGAAACGCATCTGTATCTCAGTTTCCCTGAACTCAGAAATGGCATTCCTTACCAGCAAGCTATGGTTTATTGGGAGAGAAGGGGCGTTGTGCCTGGAGTGAACAAACTGATCGCCAGCCTGCACATGTCGTGCTAACTAACTGAAGGCCCTTTGGTTAGGGAAAGAGGGTCTCTAAACCGAGGCATCTGGAACTGTGAGGGGAGGAAGGGGTGGAGTGGAGCTGAAATCAACCCAGAGAGTCCTGAATGCTCCTCCTATCCATGTATTCAGGCTGCAGACAGGGACTGGAAGCCCACCCTGCATCTTTCTCCTAACCCATGACAGCAGCAGAATCATCACAGGCCGTTAATTCTTAAGTGCAGTTTCTGAATAAAGCACCCACTGGTTACCTCTCAGTAGGTGTGGGGTAGACGGTTCTGACATAGACAGACAGGGAGCTAGTGTGCTGACCTCTGGAGGAATCACTCCTTTGTTTTTCTTTTTATATTATACTACCCTTTCTATATATATATAATTAAATCTCCAAATATTGTGGTTTGGTTAGTTTTTAAAACATTATATTGGGGTGGGGTGTTGGAGATGGCTTAGCAGTTGAGAGCACTGGCTGTTTTTCCAGGGGACTTGGGTTCAACTCTTTTTTTTTTTTTTTTGGTTTTTCGAGACAGGGTTTCTCTGTGTAGCTTTGCGCCTTTCCTGGGACTCACTTGGTAACCCAGGCTGGCCTCAAACTCACAGAGATCCACCTGGCTCTGCCTCCCAAGTGCTGGGATTAAAGGCATGCCCCACCACCGCCCGGCGGGTTCAACTCTTAGTACCCACATGGCAGCTCGAAGCCAACTGTAACTCCTGTCACAGGTGATTCAGTGCCCTTTTCTGGCCTCTGCATCCACTAGACACACAAGTAATATACAGATATATGTATAGACAAAACATCCATACACATACAAATTTTAAATTCTGTCCTTGGAATTATAGGATATGTATATTTTTTATCCTGCAGATCTATAATGAAAAGAACCAAACTCGGCAAGGAAAAATACAAAAATGTACAGTTTGAGGAGAAAAAGGGCACCAGGAAGTGTAATAGAGCTAAGTTCTGTGCTCAAGGAGATAAACATATTAAAGAAAAACCTGATGCTAAGTGGAATAAAGGGAGTGACCTCAGGACAAAATCCCACTCAGCTAACCTCCCCACTTGTGAAAAGGAGTTAAAGAACAGCTTAAGCAGTGGAGGAAACCATCAAAACCAAAAAGCTGATACAGATGAATTGAATGGAAGGGCCATGTTCCAGCCTCAGCAAGCAGAAGAACTTGGCAGCTTTGGCCTCCTGGTTCTGGTTTTAAAGTCAAGGATTCAAGAAAGGGGTTGTGGAATCTTTCTCTGAAGCTAAGGGATGCTGATGAGGCCAGGCATGTGTCAGAAGTGTCCCTGCATGGAGGCCCAGAGAGGCCTTTGTGTAAAGCTATGAAGGTGAAGCCCGGATTGCCATGGAGATCCCAAGATGTTGGAGATGCCAGAGATGTGGGATACCTGCTGAGGGAGCTGCTAACAGGGAGGGGAACCAGCCTAAGAGAAAAAAGTATGTTGCAGTTAACAAAGCTGAAATAAGTTGGAGATCTGAAGAGTGCTTTGACATTAGACTTCGAGATAGAATTTGGAGTTTGCTCAGCTGGTTTTCAGTCTTGCTTTGGTCCAGTATTTCCTCATTATGCTCCTTTCCATCCCTTTTGGAATGGTAATGTATATTCTGTGCCATTGTATGTTGGAAGTATGTGACCTACTTTTGATTTTTGTTTTATAGGGGGCTAGAGTTAAGAGACTGCCTTGAGTCTCAGAAGAGACTTTGGACTTTTTGTAGTATTTTTTGTTTTGTTTTGTTTTTCGAGACAGGGTAGCCCTGGTTGTCCTGAAACTAGCTCTGTAGCCCAGGCTGACCTTGAACTCACAAAGATCTACCTGCCTCTGCCTCTCAAATGCTGGGATTAAAGGCGTGTGCCACCACTGCCCAGCTGATGGACTTTAGACTTTTAAATAGTGTTGAAACTGTTAGAGACTATGGGGACCTTTAAAGTTAGACTAAATGCATTTTTACATTAGGATACAGCTACCAGCCTCTGGGGGACAGGGAGTGGAATGTGGTGGTTTGAATAGAAATGGACCTGATAGGCTCATGGATTTGATAGCTTGTTCACCAAAGAGTGGCACTCATAGGAGACGTGGCCTTGTTGGAGGAAGTGTGTCACTGGGGGCAGGCTTTGAGGTTTCAAATGCATAAGCCAGGCCCATTGGGTCTCTCTTCTTCCTGCTGCCTGCAGATCTAAATATAGAATTCCCAGCTTCCCCAGAATCATGCCTGCTTTAACTTTGTCATGCTCCCCACCATGCTGATAATGGACTAAACCTCTGAAACTGCAAGCAAGCCCCAGTTAAATGCTTTCCTTATAAGAGTTTCCGTGGTCATGGTGTCTCTTCATGGCAACAGAACACTGACTAAGACAGAGGGGGCAGGATTCAGGTGCTCTCAGATTTGGGCACTTGAGAGGCAACTATGAAATTTCTTTTATATTTGTCTTGTGTTCAGTTTTTTGTTGTTGTTGTTGTTGTTTGGGTTTTTGTTTGTTTGTTTTCTTTTTCTTTTTTTTTTCCCCTATTCTGAACAATGCTGCTGGGAATAGGTTTATATATGTCTTGGTGTAAGAGTGAAAATGCATTTGAGATGGTGGTTACTTGGAAGTGGAGCTGCTGAGTTGCTGAATACCATTGATGCTAGATAAGACCAAGCTGCTTCTTCAGGGATCCACAGCAGTGTGCTTCCCTACCAGCCATTTGTGGGAGATCCCCACATGCCACATCCTTACCAACACTTAGAAAAGATGTTTTTAAGTTATAACAGTCCTAGGTTTGTAGAGGAAGCGAATTACGATAAGGTGTCCAATTTATCTAACTTTTTCCTTGGGGTCAGTGCTCTTTGCATCTGTTTAAGAATTTTTTTCTAGGGCTCAGCAGGTAAAGGTGGTTGCTGCTAAGTCTGGCAACCTGAGTTAGGGAAAGAAAGAAGTGACTCCACAAAGTTGTCTTCTGACCTCCACATGGATGCCCCTCCTCCTGTGCCATCATGCACACACCCACACAATAGCAAAAATAAAGATCTCTCTCTAAAAAGAAAAAGAAATCTTTGCCAAACCCCCAGACCATCAAGATAGCCTCCATGTTGACACCAAATATTTCACTGTTACCAGGTCTTACTGTAGGCCACAAAAATATGAAATAGAGATTCAGTTGTATATGATAAAGCTATATCTAGAAGGATCAAGGAATCCTTCTGGAGAAGTCAAATATCAAGGAATATTTGATGTTATTTGGCTTTAGGTATATCAGCTGTTTCCTACTATCAATTTCTTGTGCACCCATAACTCCTAGGCAAACAGTATAAGCTTCTCAGACCTTCTGCTGATCTGAACTAGGTAACACCCTTACAGAGACAACGCCTATCTCCTAGGAGACAGGGGCTGTGTAGATGCATAGCTTTATTTCTTAGGCAAATGAAGCTCAGGCCCTCTTTTCTCTCTCAGCCCAAATGGCATTCCAGAGCAATTGACTCAGAACAAAAGGGTTTTTTGCATACCAGGTGCAAATTAGCTTTGAGACAGGTTTCTTAGCTCCCAGCAAAGTTACCCAGCCCTGCCAGTATATATGGTGGCATAGGAAATTAGAGACAGTTTTATTTTAATGACCTATAGAATAATTTACCTAACCACCTGTAAGATTGTAGTTTGAGCACATTTGTGATAGACTCACCTAACCACTTGTAAGAATGTATTTTGAGCACATAAATTCCCTTTCTGACTTATTCCAGGCCTTATCTGACCCCACCTCCTCTATTCACTCCACTTTTGTGTTGCAAATGAAGCTGGCTGTCACTGCTCTTGTGGGGACCGCTGAAGTTTTGCATTGTGTTGTGAGAGTTACTGCTTGCAAGGTCATTGTACTGTGAGAGTTACTGCTTGCAAGGTCATTGTATTGTGAGAGTTACTGCTTGCAAGGTCATTGTACTGTGAGAGTTACTGCTTGCAAGGTCATAGGCCAGTTCCAGGAGTGGAATGGGAAGGCCAAGATGGAGAGAAATGAAGATGAAGATGAGGACGAGGCAAAAGGAGCTTAGTTAGAACTAGGATAGGACAGGAGGAAAAGGGACAGAGAGGAGCTAAGTATGAGTACAGAACTGAAGCTGTGTAAATAGTATTTAATCTCAGAGGAATAAAGTAAACGGATGAAAGAACCCGGTGTACTTAGATTATTTTCCCTCATATTATCCCACACCTCCCATAGCATCTTCCCCAGGACTCTGGAGAAATATTCTCAGGGCAGGCCCCTGGGAAAATTTTGGTAAGGTCTTGAACTCACTGAGTGGGGAGCACGGCCTTTCTGTGACATCACTTCTATAAATCAGCACCTGTTCCAAGCGTAGGTTTGTTTCTGCTCTTTAATCTGTACTCCTTTGTTGATTAAGGTTTACTTCTACTTTAAATTATGTGTGTGTATGTCTGAGTGTGGGTGTGTATGTGTGCATG